AAAAAAAAAAAAAAAAAATTCTATTATTGCTTAAATAATTTGTATACTTATATTTTTTTAAAAAAAATATATTATATTTAAAATTTTATATTTAAAATTGTAAAATATACCTTGCTATATTTAATACAAATATTTCACAAATATTTTAAAAAAATTGTAGAAATAAGTAATAAGCTCGATAAGTGAAACGGTTGAAAATATTAGTTTGTGGGACTGACGAAGTGCCTAAAATCAAATTATGACGTTGTGTAAAATGAGATTTTCAATAATATATCATTTTTTATCTCGAACTTTTTATAAGTATATATAATTGTCCTCTGTATGATAACTTTTATTGTTTAATATCTTCAATTTATTAAATCCAAAAAATAAAGACAACCAATGCATCGTACGTGTAACGTTCTAGTTACTACGTTAGACATGGGTAAAATATGTTGACGAAATCGGTAAAATATGATGAGAAAAACTGTGTATTTTCCATTGTATTTTAAAAAATACGCAAAATCTTTATTTATACTTAAATAATCGGTTCATGATTTTCTCATTCTGTTCAACTTAATTGTGCGTGTAACACACCTTCTACGAATATTATTTAATTTTTTATTTCGCAGAATTACAAATTTACCTAGGCCTTGGACAAGCCCAGTTCTTGACATATTTTTCAAGAACCGGAACCGAAACAAAAAAACTGGTTCGATTAACGCCTAAATATCCGTAAGAACCGAAAAAGAACCGAACTCCAAGTTATAACAGTTCAATTTTTAGGTTCTTCGGGTACCAATAATGAAAAATAACAAAAAATGACCGGTGTTGACTTAAGAACCGGCCAACAAATTGCAACTCATGAACGAAAAGTATCATAAAAAACCGAGAACCGAATTTCAAAAATGAGGAACTGAATATGACATGTCAAGAACCGACCAAATTATATATATATAAACATATAAAACATGATTCATATTTCATATATATAATCGGTTCCTCGGTTAATACACATACATTTAGAATGGAACGAGGAACCGGAACCAATTTTTGCAAAAATTAACCAGAAGTCCGGAACCGAAAAAAAAAAGTATTTTTTCTTGAATAACCAGACCGAACCGATTATTTTCGGTTCGGTCTAGTTTGGTCCTCTGGTTCTCGGATATAAAATCTCACCCCTAAATTTACCTTTACGCCCTCCTGAATTTATTACAAAAAAACTAAAATTTTATCAAGAGTGGGATTCAAACCTGAGTTGCAGGGGAATAAACATGACCAGTCAACTATTGAACCACAAAAATTCATATATTGAACATAACTATATTTATCATATAATGCCAAAATGAAGAAAATAAATATAAAGTAAATAAAATAAAATCAAAACGATCATTTTCTTGATATTTACGTTTGAGTTGAGAATAATTATCCTCGACTCTATAGCTTCTTTATCGCTATCTGAAACTTGTTGAAAAGTTGATAATTGATTAATTGCGTTTTGTGAAATCTTTAGTGCTAATCGAAACCAAAAACAAATTGATTTAGATTGTTTAGGATTTATTTTATCTTTTTGTGCTTGAATAATTATACGAAATAATATGGCTAACCTTTCTTGCGATACGACCCGAGGATCGATTGTCTCGAATTAACTCCGGTAATAAGGAACTACAACAAACTGGCACCATTTAAAAAAAAAAAAAAAAAAAAAAAA